TGTCAAGCTAATTAAACAAATGATGATTACTGATATTCATATAACATATAGAAGTACAAAGCATCATTCATCAGATACTTTAAATGTAACCTGTACATACTTGATCGAAGTCCTAATCGATAAGTAGTTGATCGATCAAGTTTTCGATTAAATATAGATAGAACCTTAGTCACGCATATGTACTTTTATCAATAAGCTAACAATGAGAAATGAATACAGTGACTTCAAACGAGATATTTTAAGATTAAAGCTTTTAAATTCACCTATGCCTTTGAATCCTTTCAAAGAGAATTATGTGTAAAAGGATGGCTGAAAAAAGTTTAAAGGTAAAAGTATGAGAGATTTTGAAATCATCATGAAAAGCTTGTTATGAAATGAACTTGTACATTGATCGAATAAGTAATCAAAAATTGTTTGATCAATCATATTATCGATAAAGCTAAGTATGAGGGAAATAGGTGTTGAACATCGCTGATTGAATACTTTATCGATAAATGAATAATATATAAACTTATTGATATAAGGTCAAGAAAAGTTGTTCACATTGAAAGCACAAAGTGTATAATGTTCGAGTAGTTGATCGATTAAAGATTGATCGATCAAGTGATTGATAAAATAGTATTTGAAAAACTTAGTTCAAAAGACCATAAAAGAGTTTGATCGATCATGTTATGTGAAAACATAAGTTTCAGAAAATTGGATGATCAATCATTTCATCGATAAATCAGTGATCGATTAGGTGATCCAAAAATGAATTAAAACATTTTAGTACAGTGATACGATGATGATCGATCATTTGATCGATAAACCACTCATCGATCAAGTGATCGATAAAAGATCCTGACAACACACTTGGATAGAATGCCAATCAAGTTATAATGCAATGATAGAATAGGTTATCGATAGAGTGATCGATAAATGGTGAATGAAATAGAATTCAACTTAAGTAGAAGAGTTTTACCATTTATCTGTCTTCTCATTGATAACTCATTGATCGATAAGGTGATCGATAAAAGCTTACCAGAATTGTGTCCCTTTATCAGTCAGGTGATTGATCATCAAATTATCGATCAATTGATCGATAATTTTCTGCACACTTCTATACTAAATAGTGTTAGCCTTGATCGATAAATTGTTTGATCAACATATGAAATCAGATTTATCTAGCAAGTTATCGATTAACGTTACTGTTAAGTTACCTTTATATACTGAAACATTTTATCTGTCAAGTGATTGGTAAACCTTTGATCGATCAGGTGATCGATCAACTTACTAAACCAGAAACTTCTAAATTTGTTATCATCAAAACCTTAAATCTAACATAACTATGATTATATTTTTGCGGTGCCCTACTAACCTAATGACAATGATTGTGGGTATTACATTGTGAGATTTATGAAGGATGTTATTACTCACGATCAGATTTTTGTTTCTAAAAATGTATGCAATAAAAGTATTCATTTTATATTCTTTTTTTTAATTTAATTTAGTATCCAATTGTTAATATTTATTTTCTAATGTTTTATACATGTTAACTATTGTGCAGTATTATCATGATGCATATTACGCAGAGTATACTGACGATCAAGTTAACAAAGTCATTGAAAAATGGTGTACATATGTATTCCAATGCTACATTACTATTAATTGAGTAGGTTTGTTTTATTTAGCTCTTTTCTTTATTTTGGTTATACTTAAAAAAGTCGGCAAGAGAGATATGCTACTTGGTTGAATATGGTAGAATTAAATGAATAGAAATATATTGATTTCATCAAGATGAAATTATACAAACTTGTTAATTAGTTGTTGCTTATTGTAATTTTTTCTTTCTATAAAGCTTATTGAAACTTAGTTCTAATGCAAATATGACGTTGATTGTTTGTTACATATTTACTAGTGACTGGAGAAATTTATTAAAAAAAAATTACTATGAATGGGATTATGAAAAATTACAAATAAATGAAATATAAAAAAAATAATCATTTTTGTAGCGCTTCCTTCCATGTGGATATGTTTTGTAGCGCTTCTCCAAAAAAAAAAGACTAAATATGATATGTTACATGTAGAAGTAAAAAAAGCTATTGTTGTAGCGCTTCAATTACAGTGCGTTACAAAAAGTCCAACCCAATAAAAGTGGGGCTTATATGCTAATAAAAAACCACACCGGGGTCCAAAGAGGGAGTTTCACCCGTTGATTTAAAATTCAAATTGTGCTCACTTCTCATACGTGAGTCATTAGATTATATGTAACTTGAGGGAGTCACTTCTGCACAGGGGTGATTTGAGGAACTACTCCCAAAGTACTTTTCTCTTCTCTCTTCCTCATTGGTGAATTTTTTGTATAACATAATGAAGTCTGTAATGTGATTTTATTGCGCACAGGTTACCAGTTTATCTCCATCAGACTGCCAGGCACATCCAAAATCCTTCAGAGGCCCCCCCCCCAAAAAAAATTTTTTTTTTTTAAGACTTGTACAAAAACATGCCCAAACAAAAGAGACGAAATTACAGACTTTGTTTCAAAAAATTTTTACGGTCCGGCATGCCTTTTATAGAGTGTATTGGATGATTGTATGATTTAGGAGGTGTTTGGATAGAAACCAAACCATGGTTTCAGAAGTGTTTTTACGGATTACGAAGTAAATATGTAGAAGAGATTATCTCGTTTTGCAGAAAAATGTTTTTGAAACTATGGTTTTGGGTTTTCCAAACACCTCCTTAGTACAATATAAGCTTAATCATCCCTTGTACCGGCAGTTCAAAACCTTTCTTTTTTATCCTCTTTCCTTTTCTTTCTTTTTTTAAGCATTAGATTAATATTTTAACGGTTCACATTTAAATCTTTTTAAAACTATTATCAAAATATTAAATTGTAAAAATAAATAAATAATAAGTTATAAACCATATTAATTTTTTTTTGGCGTACAAACCATATTAAAATTTAATTCTAATAGTTTACAAGTACACTAAATGTTTTTAAAAATTTTTTTACAAATAGTTTATAAAAAATTTAAATTTAAACTGTTGAAATATATTAATCTAATCATTAAAAAAAGAAAGAAAGAGAGAGAATGAAAAAGAAAGAAAAGAGGTTCTGAATCGTCGGGTCATTTCGCCGCCAAGCACTGTTGCGATAAATTTATTCTCCTTTTGGCCGGCAATTCCAATGGAAGCTTGCAAGTCACAGGCAAGGCATAAGCTTAATTGATTACTTAATTACTTTATCCCCCGGGGGGCCCCCAAACAAAAAAAGGCGAAAAAGTTGTTTAATAATCTTCTTTTATCTGCTCTCAAGCCCCCTGTCAGATGGATGTGTGCGTGTGTTAGTGTGTATAAGTAGGATATTCGGGTTGTTTCGGTACTATTTGTGTTAGGTGGTTTTCTTTTCAGTCTCTGGAAAAAAAAATCTTCCTTTATCTTTTTTCCGTTCTTTGTTATTTTTGGCTGGAAATCTTTCCGCATCTTTCTCTGAAAGCATCCACCCATAGGCAATGTTTCCGTATCTTTCTCCGAAAGCGTGCAGCCCTAGGCATAAAAGTCAAACAAGTACGTTGATTATTAAATGAACAATTTTTTTTTTCAAAAGTAAACGACACTTTTTGTCAAAAAGATAAGCTCATGTTTATTTTTTAATTAATCACAGTACACATTAGCAAATATAGAATAATAGTACTACTTAACTTGCGCTTCTAATTATAAAAACTAATTGAATAATTTGAAGAGATTAAAAAAAAAGTTAAATTAGTTATTTGTTATAAATAAGTATTGTCTTTCTTAAAATATCCTTGATAATCAAGTATATTAGTTAGAACTACCATTGTTAGAAGGACTATCTTAGAAAAAAATATATAAATATTAGAAACAAAGTGGATTAGGGTCTTATATTTTAGGATCAAAATAAAATTCAAATGAGGTCCTATATTAAGGACCGGAGGTAATATCTTAAATATGACAATATCTTATCCAACAGCAAACCAATTATGATATATATAATGCTAAGAAAGTATTTGGCATTATCTCTTTTTTTTAATTAAAAGGAAAACAAATTATTTAAGTTAAAAGGGAACTCAGATACCATTAGGTGAGAAGGCTATTGATGGGATTATCTTATGTTATCAAGTCTTTTACGTATTTGCTGTTGAAAATTATATAATCACAAGTAGGGTATATGAAATCAACAAACCCTAATAATTGGCAACCAAATGGGATTTAAAATTCAAGCAAAAAGACCAATATACTCCTATCTTTGAAAATAAAAGCAAAAAACCCCTCGCCAAAGTCCCCCCCCCCCATGATGTTCATCATTGGCGGCTCCTTCATTAGATATTAACAAATTGTTTTTTTAGCAAGTAACAAGGCCACTTATTTACAACAATTGTACATATTGATTAAATTTCATTAATTATTAATAACTTTTGTTCAGTAAGTCACAAGGTCACTGTTCACAACATTTATTTTAGAATTAACTAGACTCCATTGGATCATAATTTTAAGGTCATATCAAGTAGTAGTAGTCCAAAACATTAGTTTCTTCAGAAAAAATATAAAAAAAAATCCCAAAATCATATTATTTTATTTGGGAGAACCATTTTACATGTAACTACACTTTCTTTGAATTTTTACTTTGTTACCTATATATTTTTTGCCTTAATTAAATCCTTTTGTTCTGCTATGTATGAGTTGTGGCAAAATAAAGGCCTTATCTCATTGGCACTTCTAGCGTATTTTTTTTATATGTTCAAACCGCTTTAAATGATTTTTTTTATCATTTAGTTTTCCAATTTTATTATTTTTTCCCCATGCCAACTTTTCCTCCTATAGATATTTATTAAGAATTTTATATTTTCTAGTATCACTACTTATTCATCTCAATCCTCTCATCCTTGTTACCCCCAACAACATTATACTCATATTATCCCTTTAAATCATGGTATTATTCACTACCATACCTAGCATTATTGCTGGCGTTACACAGCAGTTGCATATAACTTCTCTTTGAGGCAACTTTGATAGACTTTCTCCACCCACCCTGCTATCAAAGAAAACAGAGGAAGTCTCTCACTCGCATTATTGCACTTGAACTGACCATTATAGGACGGCATCATAAATAATACGCTAATTATTCAAAATTATCCTTCGTTTGCTATAAAATAGAATGAGCTAGAGAGAGGGTAAAGCAGAAGGCAACCATACAGAAATGGATCAACTCACCCTTTTGCTTCTAATATCCTTCATCTTCGTAATCTCTCTCTTCATCCGTCGCAGCCGAAGCTCCCAATCTGCTAAGAACCCACCGGGTCCATGTCCTCTTCCTATTATAGGAAACATCTTAGAACTTGGCACTCTGCCTCATCAATCACTCGCTAGTCTTTCAAGAACTTATGGACCTGTTATGTCTGTAAAGTTCGGAAGAACAACCACCATAGTTATTTCTTCTCCAAAAGTGGCCAAAGAAGTTTTGCAGAAAAAAGACCATGCTTTCTCTTTTAGAACAATCCCAGATACCATTAGGGCACTTGACCATGATAACATTTCAGTGGTTTGGATGCCTCCAATGTCGCAGTGGAGAGTCCTCAAAAGAATTTGTGCCACGGAAGTGTTCTCCTGGCAGAGACTTGACGCAACACAAAGTCTTCGTCAAAGACAGCTGAAAGAACTGGTAAATCATGTAAGTGAATTCTGCAGAAAAGGTGAAGCTCTGGATATTGGCGATGCTGTTTTTACTACAGTGCTTAATTCCATATCAAACACTTTTTTCTCAATGGATTTGGCTCTTTATACTTCCGATAAGTCTCAAGAGTTTAAGGATGTTATATGGGGTATCATGGAGGAAGCTGGAAGGCCTAATATTGTGGACTTTTTCCCAGTTCTTCGTGTACTTGATCCACAGGGTGCACGTGCAAGGATGATAGGTTATTTTGCAAAGCTGATTGCATTTTTTGATGGTCTCATAGAAGAGAGGTTGCAACTCAGAGGCTCAGAAACGGAATCCAAGAGATTCAACGATGTGTTGGACTCCTTGATTCAGCTTATGATGCAACAGAATCCACAAGTTAGCCGATCTCAAGTGTTGCACTTATTTTTGGTGAGTATTCTGGCTTTTTCTTTGTAAATTAATTTTATACTCTTTTCACTAATAATAAATTTACAGATATAAAAAAAATTAAATCATGTAAAAATGTGTGCTGGTTTCTCTAAAATATTTTCTTCAATCGTTTGTAGAATTAAAAATTACTCCACTAATAAAAACCTTTTTTAATATATATAATTAATACAAATAATTTGGAAAATATTATAAATTTGAAAAATAAAATTGATCCACATATTACATTTGAGATCAAAACAACTCCTTAATGAGCTCTCACTTTTAGGGGCGAATTTTTTTTTTTTGTCGAAAAAAGTTATAGATTTATACGAAAATTAAATGAACATCCACGCAATCTTGGAGAGTGTTTTTTTTTTTTTTAATTTTGACATTGTTGTTAAATATCTATGTTAGCCCCACACACACACCCCTACTACTAATTAGATGGCAAATTTTGAGTCCAGAATTTATGTCTTAAGCACAGCCAAAATAATATGACCGTCTAGTACTAAACCAAAATAAATTTATTTTTGGCTAAGTTAAAATCACATGTTAATTAAAATACGTTAAATCAATGTTTAGTTGCACACAAAGACTTTTTATTATTTGAATGAAAAGCAAATAATTAAATTAACGGATAGCATGCATAGTTTTTGTTTTCCCCGCGTATAATAGTGATAAAATGACTCTAGAAGGATGAATCGAAATTTTTTGACAAAGTGATGGACGGTTTACCACTGAACAGTTACAGCTGTAAAGGTGTTATTGATTATTAGAACATGACAAAAGTCAAAAGATCATCTTAACATTGAAAGTGAGATAAGGGAAAGGAGGATGAACCTACTCCCGTAAAAGTGCTATAAGACAGCATGTGTGGCCATTGGAATTTTGTACAAAACATCTAAGCCTTACCTTAGACTTTAGAGAATGTTTAATTAATGTTCCAAATATATATACATATATTAACTATGCAAGATACATAATTTGAAGGGAAAAATATAAATTTGGTCCATTAATATCATTTGATCACTTATTTTAGAAAAATGTCTTTTTTAAGATTTTTAATTTTAGTACTATTGGTTTTATTATAATTAAAAAATGATTAAAAATGTATTTTTCTATTTTAAACGTTTTATAGATGTTTGCTGAAGTTTGTAATATTGCATGATTATGTTGCGTTCATTATGGTATTAGATCAAACTTCAGTGATAAGATGATTAGACTATTTAAATGTAATTGATTGTTGATTTTGCATATCATTCTCTAAATTATTGGTTATTTGCCTCCCATTAACAATAAATTATCTTAGGATTTATTTGTTGCTGGGATAGACACAACGTCAAGCACAATAGAGTGGGCAATGGCAGAGTTAGTACGCAACCCAGAAAAACTGAAAAAGGTCAGAGAAGAACTGAAACAGGCAACTAATGAAGGGGAGCAGCTTGAGGACTTTCATATGTCAAAGCTTCCATTTTTGAGGGCAGTTGTGAAAGAAACAATGCGTTTACATCCATCACTACCGCTTCTGGTACCCCATAAAACAGAAGATGAAGTACAGTTATGTGGCTGCTTCATGGTTCCCAAAAATGCACAAGTTCTTATTAATGTGTGGGCTATTGGAAGAGATCCCAGTGTATGGGATGACCCAAAACAATTCATGCCTGAAAGGTTTTTGGCCAATGAAATTGATTTTAAAGGGCATGATTTTGAGCTCATTCCTTTCGGAGCCGGTAGAAGAATTTGCCCCGGATTGCCTTTGGCTAATAGGACTATCCACGTTGTACTGGCTTCTCTTTTGTATCATTTTGATTGGAAGCTGGCTGATGGGCTTAAGTTTGAAGATATGGATATGAGTGAGATGTATGGGATTAGCTTACACAAGGCTATACCTCTGAACGCTATTCCCATTCAAGCTTAGATGCTCATTATTTCGTATGTTGGTGAAGGATATATATGGTAGAGGAACTGGTATAATGTTTTTTTTTTTTGGGGTTTTAGAGTAATGTCTATTACTTCTAATGGGGCAATTACGTCGTAGTGAATACATGGGCATATGGGAAGAATAAGCCTTCCTCCTATTATGAAAATTAATATAAGTATCTATGTGTGTATTGTGTTAGATATTTTTGACACCACTATTTTAAAGATTTTGAATCAATTATACAAAATTTAGGAAAATGGTCCCATTATTAAACTGTACATGATATTGGTTCATGGTTTCTGTTGCAACCACACTAAACATATACTCACCTTGAAAAAATTAAACAAAGGTCTAGTGATTCACTTGAACACTTGAACACTTGAGCATGCCACGAGGGTGATCAAGATTTGACAAGTCTATTAGTTTAATAAAGAATTTTAGAGAGAATTCACTCTCAAGTCTGAATGCATAAAGACAATTTTTGATTTCTCAAATCAAGTCTTCAATACAAAATGAGTGATAAAATGTATTTTAAGAGATGCATTCAAAAATTTTGTCTCAAAAGCATTTAATTCAATCTAGAGGCTCAATGTTAAATAAAAACTTCAAAGAAATTAGAAAGTTTCAATTAAAGAAACATGAAAACTCACAAGTCAAATATGACAATTAATAACTAATTCCCGCTCAAATACAATTATTATCTAGGCTCAAATAAGTCTTCATGTCACATCCTGCAAAAATTTAACCCTTATAATGAGTAGAAAAAATTGAGTTAAGTGCCAATAGGGAAAGTAGACCAGCTGACAAAGCTAAACATAATATAAAAACCAAACAGGGTCCGGACTGATATTTTTGAAATTATCAGTCCAAGACAAACAAAATGGAAAATTTTGATAAAAAATTCTAAAAAATTTCCAAAAATTGGAAAAAAAATGATGAATTAGAGGTTTTGTAACCTTAATTGAGGCCCTAAAAGTGGAAATGACAAGAAAATAACTTATCACAAAATTTCCTTAAAACAGAGATTTTTTTAAAAAAAATAGTGAAAATTGAACAGAAATAATTAGTTTAAATATGTAGAGGCCTCAATAATTCCTAAAAAATATAAAAAAATTATTTAAGAATTTAGTTGAGTTTATAAAATTATTTGTAGGCCCTGAAAGTGTAGGAATTAATTTGAGAATATTTAATACTGAAATCGTATCAGTAAAGCTTGATTTCAGAGAAAATTAAAAATAAATAGTTTGATGTTGAGATAAATTTCAAAAATTTTCAGAGGTCTTTCCTATATTAAAAGAGGATTTTTGATGGATAGAAATGAATTTTTAGAGACTCAGAACTATTTTTGAAAATAGTAACTGAAATAGTGAGTTTTGGTTAGAAATTGATATTTGTGATTAGGCCACACTTTTTCCTTCTTTCTAATCAGTTTGGGCTTCATATTGGGTCAAGAAAGCCCAGAAATTTCATGCATCCATGGCCCATTATGTGAGGAGAGTTTAAGCCTAATTTAAGCCTAAAATCTAGAAGAAAAATTAAGAAGAAGGAACACTTGGCTTGATCTGAAACTTAGGGGTTATGAAGAGGAACACATGGGCCCTTATGTGACAGAAAATGGTGCCATATTAGAGGGGAGCTGGTCAGATCTTGAGCTTTATAAATACCCCTAAATATAAGAAATTCAGCCAAAATTGGAAAAATAAGTAGAAATTCTGTCCAATCAAAATCTCATCCTTAAACAGCACCTAAAATCCTCCAAATCAAGAGAAAATTATCAAACTTCAAGCAAGGATTCATTAAGGTATGTCTAAGCTAAGCTTGATTTTAGTTAGATTTAAAGGTTGTTTTGATTGAAATTTCATGAAAAATCTTAAGGTGTTATGCTGGCCATTTTTAGTTAAATTGAAGAAGCATTAGGGGAGGATAGAAACCATGAATATGAGCTTGGAATAGCATGTTTAATTGATATTTGGATTGAGTTTTGGAAGAAAACCAAAGTTAGGGTTTTTAAACACCCTATCCGGTCACTATGGAATCTAAATGTTAAAGATTATTTTAATGTGATTTGATAATTTCAATAAATTTAAAAGGTGTTTTTGTGTGGAGAAACACCAACGAAAAGTGTTTAAAATCATTAGAATCAAAAATTGAAATTTTGGAACCCAAGTTCACCCTATTTAGCCAAATTAGTTTGAAAGGGAAGGAGTATGATTTTGTTAAATATATTTTGACATTTGGATTCTACATAAAAAGTTGTGTAGGAATGGCCAAAGAGATTGGTTGAAACAAAAAGAAAATAATTATGTCAAAAATCAAGGAAAAAAGGGTTTAATTGAGTTTAATATTGAGCATTAGTGTTTATGTATGGATTATTGGTATTTTAGAATGTGTTTATGCTTGGATTGATAGGCATTTTGTAAGAAATCAATGAGGAGAACAAACTTGCCAAAGAGGCCGATTGAATAATTAGTCAAGAGGTAGCATTAAACTCATAATTTGAACGTTTTTTTGTTTGTTTAAATGTGTTTGTGTTATTTGATTTATGTTAGCATGATGTGATTGAGCAAATTATGTGATTATGCATGAAATTCTATGTTGGATATGCCTTGGCAATATGTTATGAGGAATGGTATAATGGCTTGATTGATTGCTTTCTTTCCATAGCAAATGATATGCACACGTTATTTTCATGATAATACAACACATTTCTACATAACATGATTTGCATAATAATTATGATTCATTGCTACTGATATTTTTATGAAATCTCATTCCTTTATGCCCAAATCTTCACCAACTAGGAGTTAGACCAAGCAAAGACAAAGGAAAGGAGATCATTTTGGGAGACAATTAGTTGTTATGCCTCTTGGAATAATGTTTTTAATTATTATGAATTGCTATGAATTATCGTAAATTATATGGGATTAATATGTTAATGATTAAAGTTGATATGCATGTGATTGTATCACCAAGAAATCATGTTTTGGCATGAATTATGTGATCAGAATGGTCACACGGATTGAAAAGAAAAGAAAAACTAATAATTTCATAAAAAGGGGATAAAAATTGACCTTCTTAAGGGTAAAATTTGATTATACAAAATTCTATGCAAATGGACAAGAATTTAGCTTATATATTATATTTTTAGCTTAAAAACAAGGGGTATTTCATGAAATTTAGAGTTTTATACAAAGGGTTATGCCCTTCCAATGTTGGGCATAAATTCTAAAAAAATAAAAAATGACCATATGAACAGTACCACTTTACGTGAAATCTGGGACTAATTGGTAAAGTCTAGACGCTAATGAGTATTTTTTCCTTAAAGATCACATTAAAAGCTTTAAGTAGAACTTGAAACCACTTCATTTTAATTTTTCTAGAATTAGTCATGATTTCTCAAAATTTGGCCTTCATTAGTGTTATAATAAATAGTAACCCGAATTTATGAAATTTTAAAGTTCAAATTTTTCCAACTTAAGGCTATAAGAAATGGTTCCAATTGAGATAAAATGTAATCTGAAAGTAAGGTGTGACACTTCACATGTTTACCACTCGGTCTAAATTCTTTAAATTGAAGTCTCCAAACCTAAAATATGTCTAACAACTCTATTTCTAGCCCACATTGAATTAATGACATCCTCATTATTTTTAATTAGATTTGAAGATCCAATTGCCATTTGCTTTGTCAAAATCTCTTGCACTAGCCCATTCAATACATTCTATTTTTTTTTTTTGGTTCTTGCTCTTATGATTCTCCTACTTGCATTTTGTAAATAATCATTTGAAGTTGAAGAGTCAACTTGTTTCTTATCACCTCCCCAATTATCGTTGGGATGATGAATTTTCCAATCAAAAGACAAATTTGTTGATAGAAAACAATAGGTTGTAAAAAACAATTGACACAATTGATTGGGCTCAAACAAAACTCCTTTTCACACCATCTTATTTACACTAGCCCTTGCGCCAATAGTGTAATAAATGAGGTGCTGATATTTTTGTGAATAATGATAGAATGTTTACATTAGTTGTGCGCAAGTCGTGTATTTTTTATTATTTTGTAATGGATGTTTTAGAAACCAATGTAAATGTTAGTTATATACATTGGTTATGATAAATAATTGGTGTAAATAATTTAAACGCCAAGAAATTGAATAGAGGTGCCTATCTCCCCACCTTACCCTCTGCTACCTCTACCATTCGACTAACCATTGAGCAATGCCTCTATCGTTACTCACCAAATCCTATGCCATCAATGACAAAGTCAACCTAATACTTGATGATAGAGACATTACGTATGATGTGATAGACAACTCTTCAGATGCTGAAGAAGAAGAAGGCCCCTACTCCTCGTATTCCTTGGGTTAATAAGGAATATACAGAGAGGTTTTGTGTATAATATATATACTATGTAATTTTTTTGAATATTTTATAATGACCCCCAAGCAACCCCATCATGAATTTAAAAAAAAAAATGTATTTCTAATGGCTTTCATTTTTGTGCTTTTTTCTTGTGTTTATCTGCTAATGGATATCAAACTCTAAAATTGGAACAATTCATATTAGTTTAAAGAAGATGAATGAGATTTAGGTTCTTTAGGTATTGCTGCTCTATAATTTACACTGGTTATGGGCAACTTCAATATACATAAGTAAATTTTTACATTGGTCATTGTCATCGCTGATTTGTTAAGTAAAATTTAATATATACGCTAGTTGCTAGGTTTAACCAGTGTTAACAGCAAAAGCAAGGCTCAAGCTTCATTTGAGTTTTTTTCAATGCGAGATCTTCATCATTGCTATGGACTCAAGGGATTTAAGCCATGCTTTTGCTGTTAACAACATTTTGCACTTCCTTAATTTAGGTAGCTCATTTATTTATTGTAAAGCTTGAGCCTTAACCCTTATCATTGTCCCTTGTGTGTTTATTACTAGCCTCTTCTAATTAATCATGTGTTAACTTGCTTTAAGTGGTTAAAAACGTGGTTTTATGAATTGAAAATAGCTTGTAATTCAACTGGGTTTGCTTTTTATTGTTGACCCTCTTCTTTCTATGTTTATTGCTATTTCTGAACTAGAAATAGCTAGCTGGATTATTATCTTTTGTTTTTTCTCCCATGTTTTTTTTTGTTTGGTCTATCCCTAACTTGAGTGGGGTTTGATTGTCAGATATGTGTTAATTGAAATTTAACTAGGATATCTGCTTGCAGTAGATGTCCAATTCCTTTTGCAAACA